AATAGTCTGCACTTTTCTTCAGAAGATTGGGACAAAAATAGGGTTCATTTCCAGGAATATTGAAGAATATAAACAAAAAACAAAAAAATTCCAGAATAATTCGGGTGAGAAAGTCTGTGGTGAAAAGGTGAAGTTGAATAGATGCTGTACCCCTAAAAAATTACAGACAGGTTTTGTTGATTTTTTGTTTACTTATAGTTTACTTATATTTGTGCTTATTTCCTTTCAAGACATTTATCGGCCCAATATGTCTTCAAATCAAATTATGTCAATGCAGCCTTGAAACCGCTGGTGTATAGACCATTTTCCATACACTGCGAGAATCACGCGATATGCGTGAAATCGAACGTAAAAACAGGACAAACAAAGGTCATAGCGTCGTAGTCGCGTCAAACATCGTGTGGGATTTGACAAACGCGAAAGTATTTCGGGGACATTTCCATGCTTAATAATGTGCTGTCCACATTTGATGATGGGCAATTTCGATTAAGTGAGGCTATTCGGAAGCAATATTCCTCTGTCGAAGATCGGCCGGTCAATGTAAGCTGCGAAATAAAGAAATTCTAGTTCAAAATCAAATCGTTCGATTTTTGCGGCAATTGTTCGGAAAATCACCTATTACCATTTAATTCCTGTGAGCTAATACATAGATGAAATTAATAACCATATGACACATGTTACTTTCTCTGTTAATTCAGGATAAGAGAAATGCCCAGAAAAATGGCTAATAAAACATAATAAGCGTTTCTTTTGGTTTACCCTCTTGAAATAAATAAACGGTAAATTTGCAAATAACTTTCCAGCAATGTTAATTAAGGGGGCATTGGTCCACGCACACAAAAAAAATTAAAAGAACTTGCATAACCACATTTGCTGCATTAGAGAATGCCCCGGACACAGTGTCAATGTACTATAGCGCCCTCTATACATATACATTACACCTATCACTCTAGGAAGTTGTTTTGTCAGACTTTGTTGAGTTTTTTTCTCCCAGTTTTATTTCTCCCTGTTGTCATAGCTCACTTCAATAGTTCACAGTTACTTTTTGAACCAAACATGTAAATGATTAAGAGACTATTAAATCACGTATAACTTGTTGGGATTCAGGTATCGACCTACCTTAACATGTAACTTCTAAAAGCCATGCCCCTTCATGACAAACTATTAACAACCAGTTTATCTAAATAGACTACTTGTAAGACCTTCAAGCCCTCAATTTGTTTTATTTTCTGCCTTTTAATGGCCTTGCTGTCTCATGAACATTCCAATTTCTTTTATGCACATCAATGTTAATGGTACCTGTAGGTAGGTTTAGGATATGGTTACCGTAAAATCTGTATTAGAAGCCGCATCCCTAATAGAAGTCGCATCCATTCTATTTGAATAATTGAGAACCAAAAATTCATCATTTCTCGTATGTGTAGATGCTCTAATAGAAGCCGCATCCCCTCTGTTGCATTGTACCATTTTAATAGAAGCCGCAGCTTCTAATACAGATTTTACAGTAATAGTAAAGCATACATTATTGAGTTTTGGTCTGGATCTATTTTAAAACGCCACAACTATGTGTAAACTTTGAAGCTATAAACAAGTTTTTATGTACTCAGTAATAGTTGAAAATGTGTTCTTTTCCAGTTTTACTATCAACACAGTAAAATATAAAATGTGCCACAAAATAAAGTTGAGTCAGACTTGTAATGGCAATATTGTTAAACCAACTGAATACCGATGCTGTAAAATCTGTATTAGAAACCACGGTTTCTATTAAAATGGTACAATGCAACAGAGGGGTTCTTTGTTCTATTAGATCAACAACACAAATGAGAAATTGTGATTTTTTTTGGTTCTCAATTTTTAAAAAGAATGGATGCGATTTCTATCATGGATGTGGATGTATGCATGCATGTTATTTCAAAAATAATGGTTTTCACATCCTACTCAATTATCGGATTTAATACCACATTTTTAAATGCAAACTAGATCAACTTGCTTGTAAATAATTGTTTTGATACTAAGACCCAGACAAAATTGGATTAGATTTCTGCCCATCCCATGCAGAAGTTTTTTGTCGAAAGTAAAATTCATGCAATATCAAAGTAATCAACACAATTTTTAAGACATTTGAACATTTGAAAAATTATTAAAAAAAAAAATTATTACAAAATTTTTTTACTACCTGTGTATGAATCAAGTGTCAAATTTCCTAAAGCTTTAATAAAGCAATAATCTTTTTTATTCTATTCAAATTTTTCAGCAACTTTTTATTAGCTCCGCTGTCGACTTTGTCGAGCGGAGCTTATCATATGAGTGATTGTTCGTATCCGGCGTCCGTCGTCCGTGTCAATGTTTTACTTTTTCGACTTCTTCTTGAAAACTACAAGCCTGAATGCTTTGATACTTGGTACCTTGGGTAGATCTCTCTCAGATTTGTTCATTTCATGATCATATCTTCAATTCTCTAATTTTGGTGAATATTTTTGTCATTTTTGGTAAAAAGTGATATTTTCAACTTCTTGTTAAAAAACGCAAGTCCAATTGCTTTGATATTACATATATAGATACTACATGTGGACCTCTCTCACATTTGTTCATTTTGTAATGATATCTTTAATTCACTAATTTTGGTGAATGTTTTTGTCATTTTTGGTAAAAAGTGATATTTTCAACTTCTTGTTAAAAACCGCAAGTCCAATTACTTTGATATTGCATATATAGGTACTACATGTGGACCTCTCTCAGATTTGTTCATTTTCTAATGGTTTCTTCTGTTCTTTAATTAGTCCCCGTTCGGA